CTGCTGTTCTCAATGCTGATGGTGGACATACCCGTTATTGAGCTTGTGACATGGTCGTTTGACCCCTGTCCCGCTTGTGGACTCGTGACGTCATTGTGATTGACTTTTCAATTGACTTGTTATGGTCTCATGATCCCTCCATTAAAGTTTATAGGTACCTTTGACATTGTTATCGTACTTATCAACTGGGATAATATTTTGACAATGCACAGTTTCTTTATGTGGCTAGTATAGTTGCAACTATGTTCTTAAAACACTCACCGAAAGACAGCATAATATCTCGCAATGCATCACAAATTGTCTCAAACAAGTAGAAGAAACATATTTGACTATCAAACAACATTACAATATATAATGAGCCTGCACAACATCAGAACACACGCACATTGGTAAAGGCCTACACATGCAGATGACCTGAATATGAGATTTATTGTTTATCGATGAAATACAATCGAAAGTGACACATACAAAAGTTCTCCATGGTGTTTGTCCTAGTTCTGGGCGCCACATGTGTTTGCTTTTTATAATTATTAATAAATTGAATAATGGTCTTATCCCAGATTTGGTCGCTTCGTAGGTACACATACATTACACATACATTGGTAAGGGCTTATGGCTTGGGTATATGAGAGTCAGACCAATGTATCTCAGTGAGTAATTTTGATATAAATAATGACAAGTTTCTGGTCCATAAACGTAATACTATATAATAAAGTTAAGTCAAATTTCGACCAAATACTCACAGAAATGTTCTGAGAACAGGACAAAACGCGATGTACTTCAACACCAGATGCAATTTCAAAGCTTGTGCCGTGAGCGGAGCCAACCCGAGAATGTTCTTTGCAGGGTAACTCACCGCTAAACTAGGTCACAATGCTTTTTTATGCGCTGTGTGGGGAGACAGCTGATATGTGACTGTGTGCATGAATATGGGAATGTGTGTCGCATACACTGATAACAAGACCTCCCCATCAAATAGCGTATTTTCAGACTGGAGGTAACGCGACCCGCCGGAAGAATTCTCCTCTACATCTTGGAAGCATCCTTAGAGATTTAAATGTGCTTGTATTTGTCAATTACTCATTGAATTCCCACCCAAGCAAAACTCTCTCGGTGTACGGTGTTTTATTTTGAGTTACTGTCATTTTCAAATGCAAACATAATGTAATCATATTTGTCTTGAAAGGGAAAAAATAGGAAATGAATTCCGTTTCTACATCACATTGTGGTCACAATAATATCATAGAATCGTCCACATAAATTAAGATAGTTTAAACACTAACTTGTGTTTTTATCAAAATTCTGATTGTTGTATAAGTGAACATTTTTCCGTATCCAGGTGTTATACGTGTGTATTTTACTTTAAATTAGTTGCATCGTTCAATACTCTTCTTGTTGTTAGCTGGTACCTGCAGTAAACAATGGTGTACATAGGCAGAGTAATACAAACCCAAACGGGATGGTTTGCCTGTTTATTGATGTTTTGATATGACCAACTCACGTGCGCAAGTACATACACCCTTGCTACATAAAGTACATAATCTCAAGCGCAAGCTTACACCTTATTTCACTTTAGCCTGATTAACAGGAATCCCGCCGGACAGTAGGAGATCAATGTAAAGTTACTGATGAAAGCTGGACATTGTGAGATCAATGTAATGTTACTGATAGAAGCTGGACAATATGGCATCAATGTAATATTCTGATGTAGGCTGGACAATGTAATATTACCAATGGGACAGTATGACATGAATGGATGAACCAATTGCCAGAGACTATGATAGTTTGATTTGGAATGAACCCGTGCATAAAGCGTCATGTTCGCATTAACTGAGGTTTGAATAACTCATTTGTGTTCTTCATAGCTATGTTAGTACGAGGCGACTAACAAGATCGGGTGGTCAGGCTCGCTGACTTGGTTGACACATGTCATCGGTTCCCAACTGCGTAGATCGATACCCATGCTGTTGATCATTGGATTGTCTGGTCCAGACTCGATTACTTACAGACCGCCGCCAAATAGCTGGAATATTGCTAAATGCGGCGTAAAACTAAACTCACACACTCATAGCTACAGACGCTAGAGTTTCAGGAACATGTGCACGGTGCTATCAGATTGATGTGTTTTAAAAATATTTAAAGTAAAATCAACTCAATTCTGTTATATTGCGATGCTGGATGGAGATGAGTCATTTAGATGCTGGTTTGGGGTATACATGAAAAAGTCGAATCGTAGAATATCTTGATCATTTTATTCCGATATTCACTCAAACCTGTAGGATCTGTACATTCAGAAATGTAACGAGACACACCTACTAGGCGATGTTTCAGCCCAATTCCAAACGCTTAAAAAATCACTTCTCCCTAAATTTAGACAATGCTTTTTCTCACTTCTCATAGCCTTGAGAATGAACAAGGAAAAGCACAAAAATATCAAATGAAACCGAGTATGTAAACTTTGTCACCAACTCCATTTCATTTTAGATCATTTCTGTAAAACAACATGTGTCCTTATATGTACAGAACAATCTATCAAATAATGTCTAAATATTAATGTATTAAACCTGTTACAGCTAAGGCATTTCATTCAATGAATTATAGAAATACCCTGAATTAACTGAACCATGTACAATGTACATTTCACTGTCCATACGATTTGCACTATAGACCTGATGCCTTTCAGTATTTGAAAATAAAGACTGATTGACTGATCCGTGTGTTTTTTTATCTTTGTCACAAAATATCAAATGAATCAAGAGTATGTAAACTTTGTCACCAACTCCATTTCATTTTAGATCATTTCTGTAAAACAACATGTGTCCTTATATGTACAGAACAATCTATCAAATAATGTCTAAATATTAATGTATTAAACCTTGTTACAGCTAAGGCATTTCATTCAATGAATTATAGAAATACCCTGAATTAACTGAACCATGTACAATGTACATTTCACTGTCCATACGATTTGCACTATAGACCTGATGCCTTTCAGTATTTGAAAATAAAGACTGATTGACTGATCCGTGTGTTTTTTTTATCTTTGTCACAAAAATATCAAATGAATCAAGAGTATGTAAACTTTGTCACCAACACAAAATAAAAAGATTTGTTCGTAATATTCATTAGCGTAACACACTTGTGTTCTTATATGTACAAATTTTAAAAGAGTTATTAGAATGATGTGGATATGAAGATAAAGTAATAAGGCTTACTAAAGTGTAGGGTTATATTCTCTTGTAAAAAGAAAGGTTTCAAATATTGTTGTTTGTTTAATGCCACACTCAGAAATATTCTAGCTATATGGCGGCAGTCTGTAAATAATCGAGTCCGGACCAGACAATCCTGTGATGGAGAGCATGGGCATCAATCTATGCACTTGGGATACAACGGTTTAATATAATGATGAGTATGTGAGGCGTTGTATGAATATAACTTTTTTGTTAAAAGGCGATTAGTCGAAGTATTACATTCATTAATTAACCTTACGTAGAGGGTTACACCGTCTTTGGAGTATTATGAACTGAGTATTACAAAGATGAGTGTGTGATGTGTTAAACCAACAGCATAACGTTAAGGATGAAGGACGATTTGTGAAAAGCGGTGTGTGTGTGTGTGTGTCTGTGTGTGTGTTCTCTGTTTAAGTATGTAGTAAACTCTTTTTTGATCCAATACAACATTCTGATAACGTCATACACCATTTCATTTAATGTTGCATACCTCTGTTTAAATATTGCTACTTGTTCTGTCTTTTATTGCTTTCAACCAAAATGTTGTGCAGAATATAATTCAAATATCAGTACTGACAGAAACTTCCCCCAGCTGTTTGTATCTTAATCTGCATATATTTATGTGACCTACAGTGTCAGTAGAAAAGATACGCCAACTTTAACAAGTCAAAACCTACAACAAAAAAGATACTTCTTAGAAAATATGGCAACATAACCAAACTGTGCATGACTCATAAAACGGTAAGTACAAAGAGTATATGAAAGGCAACGTTCGTCCAATTAGGAATGTTTAGAAAGGCGAACGTGATTGTCAAAGAAAACGTATTGAGATGATTCATCGGCGTGTGTTTGGAAATGTGTTTTTTAATCAGGCCAGCAAGCTGTGGTACCATCAGTGAGGCAATACGGTAGAAGTTCAAATACGAAGTCAGAAATATACATCCATGAAGATATAAAATAACGTATTACCTTGCTTATAAAACGTTCAGCCTCTCTGTGTATTAGCTACAAAATTAATGCTTAATCTCTTGCCATGATCTTAAAGTATATCCTGATGTAAAATGCGGCACTGATATCTGGAAAAGGTTGCTGGAACTCGACTTCTTCTAAAGAGCTCAAAACATCATAAATGCACGTGACGGGTGTCCATGAGATGAAAACACCCCGTATTCTACTTTTGGCAGACAAAGTGGACCTCCTTCTCATCCGTGCGACTGGTAGATTCGTTTATGATGGTGAAACCAGCTTTGGCAACCATCTCTCTTGCCAAAGGTGCACCCCATGATGCCCCAAGCGCTGCAGAGTCAGGCTGGCGGAAGCTCTCCGGGATGCACATAAATGTGCTTGCCGAGTAGTAAAACATAGATGTAGCATTTGCAATGTTGCCAGCAATTCCTCCCTCTATTCCGATGTCAATCATGCTGTAAATACCCCCAGGTTTCAGACACCGGTAGATCTGGTTTATGGCTTGCTGTGGATACGCTAGGTCGTGAATAACATCGCGAGTAAGTATCCAGTCAAAACTCTCCTTGTACTTATCAGATATGTTCTCAATATTGTCAGTGCTATAAGTGATATTCTGAATGCCACGGCTATTTGCATCTGCTTTGGCTTCTTCCAGTGGCGTGCTTGCTACGTCCGAACCAAGGAAGGTACTGTTCTTGAATCGAGAGGCTAATTTGTTTACCAGGACTCCTGTTGCGCAGCCCAATTCCGCAACTTTGATCCCAGATTCTGTAATTGAAATGAGATAAGGTCAGACGTCATTTAGAGAGGTATATGTACCCTTTTCATGCCTGCACACCTTCAGTTGGATTTTCTATTGAAGTAAATAAACCACCAATATGTTAATCGGTTAAAAGTAATATGTCGACTGTGGGACAACTACGGGTGATGCGGAAGGGGCCTCAATGACACGTGGCTGGCTACCTAGCCAAGATCGTAATAGTCCATTATGCAATAGATTCCAATAAATCTACTCCCGTAAGTAAAGGGGAGCTTGTGCAATAACAAGAAGGCCAATGTTAACATCTGCCATAAAAAGACCCAGCTCTATATTTGCAGGCCGCCTATAAGTTAAGGTGTGATCCTGTGACACCAAGTTGAAAGACGAATCAAATTTGTACCTCCTATTCACAGATGCAAGATTACGGTGTTGGCGACCGGTATACTAGGGCAACAATTGTTGATCACACTTGTTTATCATTATCATCCTTTCACTACCATTTCATCACTTCCCATTTTGTTGTCGGTAGTAAACTTAGAAACAAACATTGGAGATTGTGTGAAGATAAGGTTTTTTGTCCCCTCCCCCCAAAAAAATAAAAAAATGCAAAACACAGCGCTTTGCATGGCAAATGTCAAACTATTGTGTAATTGTGATCTGAAATGATTGTGGCGTAGGAATCGTATCTAAAGTACTGTCGGAAATAGAAAAAAAACTGTTTTTAGGCTGTTACTCTGTATCCCTAAAATTTACACAACTCCAAGTAGCATATGTTGAAATAACTCACATCGGCCTAACTGGGCGTTCAGTGGGATGTGTATTAGCATATCTAGAAATGTATGATTAATCGTAAAATAGGGCAAAACTATACGAAAAATACGAATAGCTGCTGAAAAAAATAGATCAGACTATAGATGGCAATTAGGTCGCTCAGCCAGGTATGACGACGGACCGTCGACTCACCTGGCATGAAATGCATGCGCTTCCTACAGGCACAAAGGGTCATCTCAAAGATATTTTTGGTTTTTTTCATGTGTATTGAATATGTCTCATCTATTGATTATCATCTTTCATAACGTTTATGTTGAGATATGTAAAACAATATGATGCCCATAGAAAAGCTTAAATCAACTATCGTATTAAATGTCTCAAAATATATAGGTGGCAAGACCACCCGAAGATCGACAGGACTGGATATTATTTATTATTGTTAAGACATGCTGTTTACTTTCCGTATAGGATTATCTCATCTTAGCTGATATCTCCATTCCCCAGTACGACCCCAACCACAGTCTATGACACTCGTCCTGGTTCTGCTTTTGAGACGAACCCTCCTACCTGTTTCTTTTTATAGTGATAGTGAGGCTCCATGGTAGCTACATCCTTAATAGTTTCAGTATTAAAATTTTACGTCAGCTATCGTTTATAATGAAGTTTAGTTTGAAAATAGGCATTTAAAAAGTGTCCTTTGAAAGACAGTATCATCGCACACTAATTTGCATAAAGCCATGGTCTGTTCTAAATAAGTCGCTTTGGACAGAAAAACCCTGCATTGCTCATTTCTGCACTAATCTCTCCTCAGTAAAGTCCTTTTGTTACGTTTCCTATCGCCGTACCACTGAGACTGTAGTTAGGCCGAACTTAGTTTAACAGATATTTCACACGTTCACATATTAACTTCATAAATTGTAGACATAAATGTGAAAAAACAGGTTTGTTTCTATTTCCGACAGTACTTTAGTACTTCAATTATTCTATTCCATTTACCTACCTAACCTTTGTGCCATCTGAGGAATGGCAGGCAGGATGTCCGTATCCACCATATCTTTCTTGACTGTCACCAACATTTCTTTAAGGACGTCAAACATCACAGGGGTTTCGCTGTAGACCATTCCTGAAAATATTAAACTGTCCCATTAGAAAAACCTATAAATACTTTACATATTGCATATGTAAAAAAGCTTAAAGGTCACATGCAACCAAAAAATCAAACATAATTAAAACACAATTATCACTTATCCTGACATATAATATACATTGCTGGTTATGAAAAAAACATATAAACAAAATTATAAGCGTACAATCGCAAATCAAAAGTGCAATATTGTGTACTTGGGTTTACTTCCCAAGAAACAAAGCAGCCGGGATACCGAACTCAGTCAGAGCGGGTGGGTGTGCACTCAAGTGTACCGGCTGGTTCATTTGCAGATGCCCCTACGGCTCATTGTGTGTGTGTATATAGAGATGTTGGGTTTTGTAAATACATGCTCATTTTTTGTGTATAACATTTTACAATCAACAGACATCATAACATGTCATGTGTTCAAGTGTCATACCTGCCTGTCTGTGTAATTACATAATGTGACAGAGACCGAACTCGGGCCATTAATAAATGCATTTTGTTTATGGTGTATAGCCTGATTGGTGTTAAGTTCAAATTGCATGTGGTCCGTGATAGCAGCTGTGTATTGAATATTGTCATTAGCAGACAGGCAGGCAGACACACAGGTGTCAATAAAACAAGACATTGAGTTTTGTCTGTGACAACGACATATCTATATCACAGTTAGAAATTCTGTCAACGCTAAATAATGACATTGCTTTCAAGTATCGAACTGAGAAAGTGACTCGGTAAGAAGAACGTGTGGTGAAATAGACAAATGAAATTATATAAACAGTTAATTTACTGTCATTACATATAAAAAGCTCGCGCCTGTGAGATATCAACAAAAGATTAGAAAAATAGCTCACACCAAAGCCTTCACCGAGTATTCACCGGACAACCCACTTCCAAGCTGCGCGAACCTATTTCACTGCGCACGTGCTATGAGCGCAGCCCAGCTGTTGAAACCAAGTTTCCCCCGAAAAGTCGGGGGAAAATTAGTGAAACGTTTGAACTCCGATTTCGCGCGGGTTTTTTCATCGCGTTATTTTTCAACTTTGCATTTTTGACGATTTGTTTCGGTAAGTCCATACCGAAAGGTATCAGAATCTGCAAAGTTGTGTTTTACGTTACATGTGACCTATAAAGTATGTATGGTTTTCCGCAGACAGTAAACTAATAGTGGCAAAAGGATTTCTGTAATAACCGAAAGGTTCTAAAAGCACATTCCATTGTAGTAATTAGAATACATCTTGAGGATATTATTCTGAACCCCAATCACATAGTTGTGGTTGTTGTTGTTCCTCTTGTTTACCGCCGAGCTAAGCAACATTCCAGCTTATTGAAGATGGTCTACAGTCGAGTCTGAGCAATACAATCCCTGGCCTGAATTTCCAAATAAGAAAACTTTTTTGAAAGTTTATATTAGCCTTGAATGTTGCATCCCTAATCAAATACCTGCCCCTGTTGGTTGCCTCTTACGAGAAGGATGGTCAATTGTTCAGCTGTCAGACAGCGAATTTCCAAATAACAAACCTTTTTCGAAAACATGCTTTAGCCTTGAATGTTGCATCCCTAACATTGGAGTATGAGTTTTATAACGAATATTGAAATCTTCATAGATTGTAGCACACACGTTGCAAAATATTGACATCTTATTTTAAAGGCACTATATCACACCACACTTCTTTAAAAATAAATAAAGCAATTCTCTCAATAATACTAACTATCAGCTCTCAGGGAAACTACCATATAATTTATTCCAAAGAAACATGACGTATTCGGATTACAATATTAAATCAAAAAGTTCCAATGAATTGATGGAAGGTTGCATTAAATCGACTCTCGCGCCCTCTGCCGACCGAACATTATTTCAAGCGAAACCCCATTTGTGACCAACTCGTGTTATTCTGGGACAAGCCGAATACCGACTCGTGCACATATTGGGGCATGAACATCAGAACTACTTTAATCAAGAACGATAACTGTATTCCTGTTGGATTTCAATGTTACTTAACATCACCGAAGCACTCGTACATTGTATTGCTGTTTTTCTTTATACTTGTATATTTTTAAGACTTAAGCCTACAACTAAAAGAAGGATAAAAACATATTTGTTAAAACATATTCTAAAGTAATTATTACCAGCTGTTCACCTTATATTTCCAATTATGGTAATTTTCTAAATAAGGTTTAATAATTACAAAAAAGGAAATTGTTTTATTGCATATGCAAATAAAAGTTTAAAAATTTCGGCTACATTAAATCCCAAAGCAGATACTCAAGAATGACTTTATAATATTCCTCAAACTGAACATTCGTATAATCTTGTCATACCCCTGGTGGAATTGTAAATGATTTCGCTGAAAGAGATATGAATGACCAAAGAAATAGTCAGACTAAAATATCCACAGAGATGTGAATTATAAGCCCAGTGTTAAAGATTAAAGTTGATTAGTTACATACAAATATAATATTATTCTTTGAAACTCGTAACGATTTATGATTACATTTTCCTAAAATTGTTGGAAGCGCACGTACAATCTCCATAACATGCCCTGCAAGATTGTCAGAAATACCATCAGTTGGACCCATGAGAGCCGTTATGTCAACAAACGCACGTGCGTGTATTTGAATATCTCACCGTCAGTCGTATGATTCTTATTAGAAACTTCATAACAGACAGCAAAATCCTGTTAGCTACGTTCTTTGTACTTTCAATATAACGATATATATTTCTCATAATTTTTTAAACAATGATATGATGCCATAAACGATTTAAGTACTCGGGATTATTTTTATCAAAGCACCGGAGTCATTTATGCGCGTTCTGATTGGTTTGTCGTATTTTTGCACATAACAAGCATCGATAAGGGAACGAGTCTTCTTGGAGGTTACGGAAAGGGGCGAGTGGTGACGAATGGTGAAACCCCATAGAGTTATGTCCCTTGGAGCACGTTTTACGAATATCCTACGCACATTGTGATAGGCAAACACCAACGACACCGCGTGCGACAGTTTTCGATGTACGGAGCAATTGTTTACATTCCGTATATTGCAAGTGTTCTCTGCTTTGGAAGATGTTCGTTTCGAAGTTTCAGTAATCGATTTCAGCAAGCCGTAAAGGATAATAAGTCTATTATTGCATTAACAGGAAGCTAAAGTGAGTGCATATGTCCCAATACATGTTATATAGGCCAAAATATTGTCGAAAATGTGTGACACTGTGCCTTTTAAGGCTGGAGCTGCTGAAATTTGCTCGTCATAAAGTCGGTCTGCAGAACATATGGATGATCTACCAAAAACGATAAAAATTGGGAGTAACAGGGAAAAAACATGAAATTTTGTAATTGGGCCGGACCCATACAAATGTTAAAATCTTGTCATTTGTCACCCGTGTTGTGAATGTTACATATTTGTGTTTTCTGTCACTCTGAATCTTTATCTCTATACTGGACCAAAACATCTAACAGATTATAATTAAATGGAATTTTGAAAGCATTAATTTAACAGAGATGATTAAGAAAATTTAGACACAACGTTAATGAGTGAAACTCGGTCATTGGTGCCTTATGAAGGACATAAAAGGACAGTTTTGTCATATTGTTCATTATGAGAAAATTGAAGTTCGGTAACAATAGTTACAATTATTTCCTGAACTTGAATAATAATTATGATAAGCGTCATATCGGATTAGTCACAGGAAGAACTTATGATGCTTTTTTCCACATATATCCGTCGAATGGCACCTAACTTCGTTTCATTCTCCATGTTCAGTCTTAAGTGGCTTACTACTCATGTCTGGAAATGGAAACGCACATAATGTTATACGGGTAATATACGTGAAATTATTTTCGTATGTGCATATGCCATGACCTTACCGCCAGGGTTCCGTTGTTGAGCACAATCCTTGACATTATTATATCTTATACCCAACTGTGGCATAAGTCTGGAAAAGACCGATACTGCCACTAATGCTTGTTTGTGATCCTGAGGAACATGGAACTTTGTGGACATGTCGTCCACGCTGATGACTTCCCCGACAGACAGGGAACCCAGGATCTCACGGACATACCTTTGAATAAACAAACAATGCATGTCATTAGAACATGTATTTAGTGCAGTGGTGCTAAATGCTCATGATATATAGTCCTGTAATAGTATAAAGTCGATATTAGGAACAATATCCTTCCCATTGTCTACATGAACGCGTTCTGGTAGTCAGTGGTTTTCATGGTATTGGTCACCTGGAGGCCGTGAGTAAAACTATAATAGGGGCAGAAAAGAAACTGTTTGAAACGGGTCCAATCTGTCATTGTGTGCATATGTGTTGATTATGACCGCTTCTGCAATACAGTTGAAGAAAAATTATGTTTAAAGATGGGCCCGATCTATCAATGTGTCTATAATTGTTTTTCACTGCATCTACAATACATGTACAGAACAAAATCTACTTTTGATGGGTCCAATCTACCAATGTGTCTATCAATGTTGTTTGTCACCCTTTCTTCAGTACATGTGCACAACACAAAATGATTGAGATGGTTCCAATCTATCAACATACTTATCAATGTTGTTGCTGCTCAAGGCACGTGGCAGTGTTATTCAGTGTGAGACAGTGTTGTAACTGCAGTGAGTTTTTGCTTGTTATATACAAAGAGTGGTGTGCTTGACTTTTTGAACAGAATATTGCCTTTGTATTTGTACCGACGCTCTGTTTTTCTACCATTGCAAATATTCCTTTGTATGAATTTGTATTGATTTGTATTCTTACCTATATCTTAGTTATTTCCTTTAACTTGTGTCGTTTCACAACGATGTATTTTATTGACAGATTGCTGGTTAACTCATCGTTTCCACTTTGAAATTTCCACAATACCTTTCTCTAAGGTTTAGCTTGTCAGCCACTTGCTGTGATGTAAGAGGCTGTTTGGCTTCCATCAGCACGTCTACTACTCCCAGTTCCCGCGCCAGAGACAAGCAGATCATGACACCACTGGCGCCGATATGGTTCATCATCTTCTTTGAGTAGTCCGACATCGTCTCGCATAGAGGGATGGTTGTGTTGGTTGTGTTGAATCTGACTGACAGATGATATTGTCAAATAAATCTCATGAGAAATCTTCCCATAAAATAGGCCAATGTGAAAGCGGGCAACTTGATATTATTGATCACAAGTTGTAGCTTCATATGTAAAAAATCAATGTAGCTGTTTCTCTGAAACCACGTTTATCGTCGAGATAAAGCTTGTTAACCTTACATTATGACGTTCACTATGTGACTCCACACTAAAGCGTGAATTTGGGGTGAGTATATCAAGTTATCAAGACTCTAAAAATACATACAACCACACGGTTTAAAAATGTCATGGTCATGATTGGAGGATATGTGGTTATTGTAAACTTGGAGACAACCTTGTTTTGTGCAGGTGAATGTAATGGCACACCGTCCCAGCTGAACTTTGTCAAGCTCAGCTAGAGCAGTTAGGACGCACAGAGTAGTAAGGAAGGAGACACTCAAGTTTGTCCAGGTGTATTCAGAGGCTTCGGCGTCGTTTCACCCTAAGTAGTTTGACGGGGTCGTTTCAACCCGGGGTTATTTCACCCCTAATCAAGAATTGTTTCACCCAACTAATGTATACTCCAGACTAATATTTGGGTTTAACAGGAAAAAAGTAAATCTGCTGTATGTATGAGGAAATGTTAATGTTATGTTTTTGAAACTAACGTCATAACACTAGGTCATTCTCGTCTAATGTAGCAACTAAATTAACAATGTCGGTATGATATGTGACCATCATATGCGTTGATACAAATAAGACAGCTGCAGCCTAGTTCAAAGACCACATGAATGAAACCTGCCTGGGTGATGTTGTTCCATATGCCAACGAAAGATCTTCCCAGTTACTTACATTGAATGCGTACGCATGTGAGTATCATGTTCATCAACACACAGACGTTCAAATTGAATGCGCTGTGCATTCACATGAAAATTATGATTCACAATTTCAAAGTCGAGGAGATATAGTCGTGAATAAGCATTATGCATAGTATGACCAGAAATTATTGAGAATTTTAGGAATATGTTTAATTGGATTTCTAGTATAAACAACCTTGACCAGTAATCAAGTGCTTGGTTTCATTCAAGAGAGACAACTCCGTTAATCCTTTTTCATTAGTTTGTGAAGAGTTTCCCCCCTTTGTTAACTTGCTAACAGGCGACATTTTCAGTGATCCTCAGTATGGGTGATTTAGAGAAGAGGAAGTTGATTTTAGAGTATTATAACAAGGACATCAGATCAGCTAAAGTGATTTCAAATAGAACAGGCATCCCTTTGTCCACTGTTTATCGTGTTTTGAAAATGGATATGGCATTGAGCACCAGGTAGGCGCAGGTAGGCCCACAAAATTCACTGTCGGTGACAGGAGGCGGCTTGGTATTCTTGTTTCTAAAAACAAACGAAGCAGTTTAGAAAACTTAAGGCTGGATATGATTGATAGAGGAACTGTGGCTGTCTGTAAGGAGACAATTAAAACTGAGCTGAATGCAATGGGTTGGCAGAAAAGTCGAGGAATTCCATCACCGATCATGAAACCTGAACAAGTGAGTGAGTGAGTTAATATTTAACGTCACATCGGCAATACCTCAGCCATATTGTGACGAAAACAATTTATAAAATAAAAAGTGAAAACATTTTGAAGATTAAAACCTGTTGACGATGGACAGTAAAAATACTAGAAAATCCCAGATATGAATATAAAACTAGCGAGCAAAGCTAAAACATTCCAATTAAAGAAGACAACACAATATAAAACACGGCTGTAGCTCGCCAACAACTGAAGGCAGATCACCATACTAGGAACCATGGGGACTTACATTACTTTTGCTACCTGCATGGAGCCTAGCTGGATTTACACCATCCCTTCAGCCGCTGGAGATTGTAGGATAAGTTAGCCGGAATTTAAAAGAACAAATATACTACGTTTAAAAACTTGGTACGAGAAAATTTCACTTTGAAAGTTTTTGGGACTTACGTACCCTCTCAGGAGGACAAAATTTGATACAGCCACTAACAATCTAAGTTGATAATCTGAACTAACAATTATATAACTTTATCTTTATACAAAACACATATCAAAATTTCTTTTAACAAATCTATCTCTTTTAAAAAATCAGTGATTAAACGATAATTAACTTTATTAAAAAAATCCTTTACTGTTTTGATATTGAAATATTTATCCCTTATGATGGAGAATTCAACACAGTCAAGCAGAACATGCTTGACCGTGGTGATACCTGAACAAAAGGAGCGAAGGTTGAACTGGTGCTTACACCATAGAAATTGTAACTGGGACAATGTGATTTTCTCAGATGAAAGTTCTGTGTGGCTGTTTCCTACTACACTGAAATTTTGGACCAAACAAACTGAAAATCCTTTGTATCAGCGCCCAAGATACAGTCCGAAATTTAACGTATGGGGTGGCATATCTGTGTTAGGGGCAACGCCCCTCTGTGTATTTGAAGGGAATATGAACAGTGAACGGTACACAGATATTCTCGAGGGACATTTACTTCCATCTGCTCACGTGTTCTATGGAAATGTTTGGATTTTCCAGCAGGACAACGACCCAAAACATCGTTCAAAGCATTCACAGGCGTGGTTTCGGACCCAAAATATGACATTATTAGATTGGCCAAGCTACAGCCCTGACCTAAATCCAATAGAAAATGTTTGGGAACTTGTGCTCATTCGGGCCATCGCTTTATCGCCCTGAAAAATCTAGGCGATATTGCGACAAAGCGATAGCACGACACGATATTGCGATATGGCGACACGATATAGCGATATTGCGATACAGCCCAAAACGAAATAGCGATAACACGACACGATATGGCGATAGCAAGACACGATATAGCGATAGCAAGACACGACATTGCGATAACACGACACGAAATGGCGATAACACGACACGAAATGGCGATAACACGACACGAAATGGCGAAACAGCGATATTGCGATATAGCGATACGGCGATAATGCGATATAAACAGGCGACACGGCGATAGTGCGACATAACGATATGACGATATAGCGATACTGCGATAAAGCGAAATTGCGATAATGCGAAAAAGCAAAAACTTTCTAGGGATTTCACGTAATGATAATATTCGGTGTATGCAAATGGATTTTATGCAATAGTAATCTTCTATGCATGCCCATCATAAATATGGTGCTATTGTGTAACTCATCGTCTGAATCATCAAAATGCAGCAACAGCCGAATAATACAAACAGAAAGAAACACACATGATCGACGAAGCACTAAAAGGTGGAGTGGTTATTATTATTTAAGACTAGATCTCTTATAGCAACTTCGGCGTCATATCACCACTAAATAAAGCACAATGGAACAACGTCGGCGAATGGAATCACTGTTCCATCCAAAAGTGTTGAAAATTACACTAAATGTAAAAATGTTTGACTTATTTACCGGTTTTCTTTAAATTGTCATTACTAGCATGTCATTTGGCTGATTATATTCAATCTTAATACATACAACACGAAGTAAAAGTTCGTTATTGTACAAATTTATCATTGTCTTATCTTTAAAACCATCGTATGATCTACAGCCAAATCGAGAAAGTGTTACTCTTACTTTGTGAAAGATAAGGTTCTGCTTTTTTAAAATAAAGTGTACTATTCAGCTTTTTCTAGAATTGGGTAAACTGCCATGCCGTTTTGAGATGTACATGTCTTTTAAGGCCCATGTTAAACGCCTTATCAACATCTGTAGCTAGTATACGTGTTGTAACTAAATATACACATGACCGTTAATTAAGCACAACCTGAAACTAAGGGCAATTTTAAAACTTTTAGCTCAAACAGTCGATCATACTAGAATGCACATGTAAAGCACGTGCTTCACCCAATCTATAAAATGCAGTGGGTCGCAGGTTCATGTGCTGCGAACGCGCCTAATACATTGGGGTATATATTTCAAAATTGCAGTATGTGCAGCCTGAACTGATATAAAAGATGACAGTACATGTATCTTTCCAGTAAAATCCTAATGCTCTTGCCTCAACAAATCTGATAAAAATATATGAATTGGACCTACTTTTGAAATCAAATACTTTAATCCAATCATGTGTAACATTGTATCCCGGGCTGTTTAGTTGGGCTATCTGTCTCCTTAAACACAGAAGTTCCTAAGCGGGTCCACAACACTTTATTCGGCGTCAAATATGCAATTACATGATAGTACAGTAATTGTATCGTATGTACAGTACATGTATGGTCACTCATCCACAATATATAGCTTCCGTGACCAACCAGCCATTTGCTGCTGGCCTACACATGGCTTTGCTTTTAACTGCACTGTAAAGATTTAGATATACTACTTTTACTTAACTTAGTGATTTTTGTTTTACGCCGCACTCAGCACTATTCTAGCTATATGGTGGCGGTCTGTAAATAATCGAGTCTGGACTAGACAATCCAGTGATCAACAGCATGAGCATCGATCTGCGCAATTGGGAACCGATGACATGTGTCACCCAAGCCATCGAGCCTGACCACCCGATCCCGTTAGTCGCCTCTTAAAGACAAGATTGGGTTACTGAAGATCAACTCTATCCCGGACCTTCACGGGTGACTTAACTCAGGAATACACGAACATATCTATATCCCCTTTAAAACCTACATCCCGCCAAATTGCCAACAATAATAGTCAAAAACTCTGAGATTGATTTACTATACAGTGGACTCTGAATTATCCGACAATCTGTTTATTCCGACATATATTTTTGGGCCCCGACAGCGTTCTGCTATATTATCATCATATTAATATTGAATTATCTGACATCTGTATTCCGACATTCAGAATTCACGACACCATTTTTCTGGTAACTAGCCAATCAACCTGTCAATGGATACAATGGAGGACTTTTTCATGAAAGTGTGAATGTGATTGTGATTGGGTAGTCCGCATGGTATGTACATTGTACTGAAGAGAATAAATACCAATGATACATGTGTATGTAAATACTGATTTTGTTTTTTCCTTTATTCACCAAGT